TTCCTTCGCTGCTGCAGCCGTGTTACTCTTCTCCCTGAAAACAGCTTCAAATTCACTGTATGAGCGCATTAAGATATCCAACTCCAGAGGAGTAAAAAATTCAGACCTTTTCTTGTCGCTTGTTGCCATGGTGAATCGTGGTATCAGGGCTCCATTGATGACGGCTTTTTAAAGTCGTGGTGCACGTGCTTAACTCAGAGTGAACAAACTCTGTGTAGATTGAACCGATTGAAATCACCTGTTCTTAAACCCGTAACCCAGAGTTTCCCATCTCAGTGTTACTCAACTCAGAGTTCAGGGTTAAGCTCAGAGTTTGTTGAACCTCCTGTCTGAAACGGACCCCAGGTGGCCGTTCTGTGGTTTCCTGGCCATCAGGTTCATTGTGATACAAACGGCCAAGAGAGAACGAAAAACTCTCATGTAACGTAACCTCTGGTACACATTTGTATCACAGTTTACAAGGGACATAAAGACGTTTCATAAAAAAACAAAAAAAAACAAAACCTGTTTCAACGTCATTTAATCCTTCATTTAACTATCATTGAATGAGCACAAATTCAATAATATGCATTTATGAAACAACCTTTAAAATAACCCTTCACATGTAAATCATTTTTACATTAAATTAGGCTACATTACATTAAATGACTTCAGAATCCCTAACAGTATTCTTTGGTCACTAACAGGCTGACCGTGGTCCGAGTCCGGACCCAGACGCCATCCTATATGGACCCTGACCTATAATGAGAAAATTATTAAGGGATTTTAAATTTTCAATCAATCGATCAATTCAGTCAATTTTGACGTGAGGTTTAAATTTTAACCGGCGCAACTTTTGTAGTCTTTACGGCACCGGTTTAGCTGATTTGGAAATGCACAGAACATTGCATGCAAGTTAAGCCATCCCATGTGATGCCACCCAGCAAATCAATTCTCTGCATTCCAGTCAATTACCATTGCGACTCTGCATACAGACAGATGAGAGAGGTGAGAAGCGAGTGACTAGCGGAAAGAGGATAGAAAAATAGAAAGACAGAAATATAGAAATAGAAAGAAAGTGATACAGGAAGAGAAGATGGACAGACGAGTGAGCGAGAGACTGGGCGAGAAACAGAAGAAGCTTTCACAGGTCTGAGGAAAGCAGCCCCGTATGTCTTGACCTTGTTTGGCACCTAAATCAGCTGTGATGCAGCTTTCCCCATAATGAACATTATAAAAACTAAATATTGTTCCAGGCTCACTAATGAGCACCTGCACATGTGTATGAGAGTGGCCCTGACACCATTCCAGCCCAGATTTAAAATCCTAGCAGGACAAACTTGAGCTCAGTTCTCTCACTGAACAACAAAAAGTGGGGAGAGTGTGGAAAGAGAGAAAGAAAGAGAAACTGTAAAACTGTTCAATTGTTATTCATTTATTGTAAAATTGGTTGAGACTGTTAAGACAAGATGTGAAACAGTTAACAAAGAAAAAGGAAAATTCAAGCTGTTGCTACACTTTATTTTTTCTAAAATTATGCACTGTATTTTAAGGTGCACAATTTTTTTTAAACTACTTCATTTATTTTCTACATTTTATTTTTTAAATGTATATCTGTATAGTTCAATGTCAAGTGACAATAAATAATGTCAAAATGTATTTGAATCATACTTTCTTTATTTGATTTGACAATCAGATGTTGATTACATGCAGACGTTGATACAACTGCGAGGCTACTTCAGTATGTATCACACGAAATCATATCGCAAGTTAGACATTATGATGTTCCGGACCTTTGCTTTAGGAAATTTTCTCTAACCGGACCTCTTTAACTTTTAGTTGAATACCTGACCTAGTATGTCAAAATATTTAGAAATTACATTAAGTGATTATTTTACAAAAGTTTCAGATTTTAAAAAAATAAATAAATACCAGCACGATATTAAAGGAACGATATGTAAGAAATCTAAAGCAAACAGTCGTAAATTCATCCAAATATGTCACAGAGACTAAAGAATAATGTTCATATAACATACTGATCTCACCAACAACAACAGTATGGCCAGAATATTTGCATTTAAAAAACATTTTTACAGTCCGCAAATCATGTTTATGTTTTGAATTTGTGTTTTGGCCTGTTGCGCCACCCACCGCCGTCTACCAGTCACACAGTCAGTAGAGTCTCAGCATCAGTTACAGTTACGACTGAGCTACAGCAGCACGGCAAGCAGCGTAAGCAGTGTCCCGGTACACAGCATTAGCAGCCGGGTCCTCCTCAGCTGTATCCCGGTAGCAGCGTTAGCAGCAGAGAAGCTAGACTTGCTCGAAGGGTCCGCTGGAAAACCGAAGATCACGGATGCGGCAACACGGCCCTGCCACAGCAGCCGCCCGTGGGCAAACAAATCAGTCTCCAGCGTGCCGCTGTCCAGCAACCTCGAATCTGTAGGGGAGGGGGGGCGGACACGACTCGCGGCAGTATTTTGAATTTGAGTGCAGTAACCGTTTTGGCCACATTCTTACATACAGCGCCTTAAGATACCAAAACATATTTACAAAAAAGCGTCTCATTATTTTGAGATGTCATTAATTTTTAGATATTTTTATAGCAAGTGACATAATATATAAGCTGATGTTGTCATCTGGAGGTAGAGGATGGTGGATGGCAGGACACTTCAGCAAGATGTCTATCAAGCTAAGGACCACTGTCAAACAACAAACTAACAAACCGACACCAGTTGTCTTTTTGGCGACAGGTAGCATCATACCCACCAGTGTTTGTGGCAGCAGTCCTAATTGTTTTAGTGACACATCACAGCGTTTCCCAGCTGCATTTGAACCACCAAACCTAGGGCTGGGCTAACCTGAATCGGGGTGTATTTCACTGACCCTTCCCTCCTTTTCCTGCAGCTTTTGCTCCATCAAATGAGAGCATTTTAGGTCAAAACATGATCTTTCCTGACCATAACCAAGTGGCTTTTGTGCCTAAACCTTATTTAGATATTTAAGATTAAGTTTCTAAAAGCCTCTTTTTATCATCACCCCCACACAAGCACACAGGACAGAGGCTTTCATTACTAAGTGATCAGAATAATCAGTCACTACTGTAACATATTCAGTCTATCAAATGTGAGAAGATATGTTTATTCTAGTTTTTGTTTTAGAGTCCGAACATCTTTGTTGGATGATGTGAGGATTTAAAATCCTGTACAGATCAGAAAGAGAAGCTTTTGAACAGATTTGATCTAATAATTTCCTTCTTGTGTAATTTGAACTTTATAAATGTCTGGATTTCTTGCCCCCACCCACTGCTACAGAAGCTGATCAATCCTGTGCGAGTGACAGCACAGTGGCATTTGCATCACATCAAGTCGATAAAAGGACACCGCTCTATAGTAAGAGACGTCATCAGTTTCTTGTAAAACACATCCAGTGTACAGGTCATGCCTGAAACCACCGTGAAAGCGCCCAAGAAGGGCTCAAAGAAAGCCGTGTCTAAGAGCGTCAGCAAGAGCAGCAAGAAGAAGAGGAGGACCAGGAAGGAGAGCTACGCCATCTACGTGTACAAGGTGCTGAAGCAGGTCCACCCCGACACCGGCATCTCGTCCAAGGCTATGGGCATCATGAACTCGTTTGTGAGCGACATCTTTGAGCGCATCGCCGGTGAGGCCTCCCGTCTGGCTCACTACAACAAGTGCTCCACCATCACTTCCAGGGAGATCCAGACCGCCGTCCGTCTGCTGTTGCCCGGTGAGCTGGCCAAGCACGCTGTGTCTGAGGGCACCAAGGCCGTCACCAAGTACACCAGCTCCAAGTAAACAGTCTTGTTGACTCTGAGACTAAACCAACGGCTCTTTTAAGAGCCACCCACTTTATCTGAAGACTTTTCCAAAATGTTTATATTATTCGATCAATCTGTCTCTGAATATTTGAGATTAAATCAATATTCAAACAATACTGAGTAAGTACTTGTTCTATTTCACTGGAAGATCTCTCAAGTACTCAATTCTATATTGTTATAGGGAGAGAAATCCAAAGCTTAATTAAATCAACATTAAACACCCATCCTAGTTTCTCATCATGTGAACATCAGAATATTTCAGGGTTTTGTTGAATCATCTAATGGAGTTCAGCCCTCATTATCCACCTCTCCCAAATCACACATGACACAATCTGTTTTCCTCCTGATTATACTTTGATTAACCAACAGTTAACATCTCACTGTTTCTGGAGAATTCGAGTTTGTTAAAATAACTCTGTTAGACTCTCTGACCGGGAGTCAGCAGGTCGGAGAACTCAGAGCTCGGGCTTTCGCTGGCGCTCTCGAAGCTGCTTTCATCACTGCTTTCTTCAACATCAATATCGGTATCAATTACTAAGCCAGTGCTGTTCTCACCTGATGAGGTGGGAGATTCATTGGGGGCGGAGCTGCAGAGTGGCGGCTGACTGAGGAGCCGACTGTTGCTGCTGATTAACAGGCTTTGGTCTGGGTTGTTGATGCTGGGCAGGTTGGGTAAAAGCCTGCTGCCGCTGGCCTCCAGGATTAGAGCTGCGCTGCTGCTGCTCCGGTGCTGAAGGCTGGCTGTGGGGTCTCCGCTGAACCTCAGGCTTGGCATGGGGCTTCTGCTGCTGTGCAGGGGGCAGGCTGCGATGTCACCAATGGTTCACGGGCTCGAGGGCCAGGATCTGCTGCTGTTTGTGCTGCTGTTCAGCAGAGGGATGTCCACCAGGGCCAAGCTGCTTTCTCTGCTAATGACGCTTAGCTGGAGGTAAGTTTAGGGGCTGCTGGAAGGTGGGCTGCTGCTGATGCTGCTGGTCAATCGGGCCGGTCTGTCTAAGCTGCTGGTCGCCAGGCTCAGGCTGCTGCTGATCTCCGGAGCCACATTGTAGCTGGGCAGGGCCAGGCTGCTGCTGGGAAGTGGAGCTGGGCTGCTGTTGGGCCGAGGAGCCACGCTGCTGTTGGTTCGTCAAGCTGGAGCCACGCTGCTGCTGGGAAGTGGAGCTGGAGCAAGGCTGCTGCTGGGTAGAGGAGCCACGCTGCTGCTGGGCAGTGGTGCCGGGCTGATGGTGGGCTCTGGCCTGGTTGGCGTATGAGTGTGGACAGTTGAAGAAGATGTGGCCATTTTGACCACACAAATTGCACAGACTCTTCGAAGTGCAGGTCGTAGCTTTGTGGCCAAGGCCGCCACATTTCCAACACTTTTCCGTTGGGCACTGCTTTACTTGATGGTCAGGGGAACCACATATGAAACAACAGGCGGTCTGCCCCAGGTATATAATACGCCTGTTGTAAGGGCCAATGGAGATGCAGTTAGGAATCTGTTTAACTTGGCCACCAGTGTCTTTGTGCAATTTGACTTTATATTTTCTCACTCCATACCAGATGCCGTGTTTATCTAGTGGTTTGTTTATTTGGAGGATGTCACAGAAATGTGATAGGTAAAGTTCAACATCGTTATCTGGCACCCTTCCAGTCCAGAATTTCACCACCAGATTGACAATATCGAGCTGGGTGGCTGACTCTACTATCCATTCTCGCCACTTTGGCTCACCTTGTTTAGTAGAGTAGACATCCAGGAAACGTCTCATAGGAGCCTCTTGAAGGAAGATGAGCTGGAAGTCGCGTTTGTTTGGTAATGCTATGAATGAATAGACATCAGACGTGTTTATCCAACATAAGTCAAATATCAGTTCATCACCGACATAATCGCGGGTAGGAAGCTCTCCGGTGCCTATATACTTTAGGCGAACCAAGAATTTTCCATGCCTGGAGGCATATGTTGGCGTTCTGCCGAGGGGAACCATTGCGGTTCGCTGCCCAGCCGGGCGCAGGGGAGAGGGGGAGACAAAACTACAACTATTTTTCTCCCTTGCNGGAGAGGGGGAGACAAAACTACAACTATTTTTCTCCCTTGCTTTTTTTTTTCTTTGCAATATGGTGACAGCCAATGTCTTCTCCAGTTTCTTCTTTATTTTAGACCTCCAGAAAAAAAACTTGTCTCTTGGTGCAGTTTCATGCTTTCTTTGAAAAAAAAAATAAAATAAAATCAGTGAATATTCTTATTGTAACACTGTTAGCTTAATTCCATCAAACATCAGTAAACATGTTATATTAATCTCATATCTTAGATGGTTTTTCATAAATTGAGTTAAAACATTGAGAAAAGCATGAGTCCAAGAAATTAAGTCTCTGAAAGATACTGGAAAAACTGTATAGACAAACTGTTCATTGTTTCTCTTTGGAACCATTTATGAAAGGATACATTTGTTTCTGAAATAGTGAAATTTTAAGTGTAGAAAATAGGACCTATCACTAAATGATTCAACAAAACCCAAAAGTAGTATGTTCACATGATAACACACTACAATCTGTTAATACACCAAATGTAAATGTTAGATATACAGAAAATGAGCTGCTTACTGTAGTTTACTTCTGATTCTTTCAAAAAGGTAAATTTATCTGGATTAGAAAAGAGATAGTGTTAAATTAAAGTTCACATTTAGCATGTATGTACAGTTGGCCATACATAGTAAATACATCATTAACATAGCAACACTAAATACAAAGGGAACTGATCTTCAGATAAAGTGGGTGGCTCTTAAAAGAGCCGTTGGTTTAGTCTCAGAGTCAACAAGACTGTTTACTTGGAGCTGGTGTACTTGGTGACGGCCTTGGTGCCCTCAGACACAGCGTGCTTGGCCAGCTCACCGGGCAGCAGCAGGCGGACGGCGGTCTGGATCTCCCTGGAAGTGATGGTGGAGCGCTTGTTGTAGTGAGCCAGACGGGAGGCCTCACCGGCGATGCGCTCAAAGATGTCGCTCACAAACGAGTTCATGATGCCCATGGCCTTGGACGAGATGCCGGTGTCGGGGTGGACCTGCTTCAGCACCTTGTACACGTAGATGGCGTAGCTCTCCCTCCTGGTCCTTCTCTTCTTCTTGCCGCTCTTACTGACGCTCTTAGACACGGCTTTCTTTGAGCCCTTCTTGGGCGCTTTGACGGTGGTTTCAGGCATGATCAGAACGGTACGCTTCTTGTCAAACGTATAAAGCTTCTTACTGCAGAACCGCGTATTTGTATGCACCTGATGCAAATACCACTGTGCTGTTGCTCGCACAGGATTGGTCAGCTTCTGAGGCTTGGGAGCAATACATCGGGTGGTTGGGGGGAGGAAGACGAAAGAAAATATAGTTATTTAAAAAGAGAAAAAAACAGTTACTGTTGGGTTTGATATAATATAATACTATGTTACGATTTCAGTACATTCACTGATATTTTCCACTATTTTCACTGACACAGTGTTAATCATACCAAACCATTTCTCTGTTCATTCTGGCCGAATATCACAGCTCCCCAGAGTTGATTGGAGGGTAATTCAGGTCACCTATTGTGCAGGGTGTGTGTACTGACTCCTGATTAAAAATTAGAGCAGCTTTGTGCTTTTCAACACCAACCATCAAGGTGTGACGATGCCCTTCCTAAGGCTAAAGAGAGCTGAGGAAACACACACCCAGGAAATTATGACCCTTCCTCAATCAAATACTGATGCCATGTTAGCAAACATTGTCATACACAAACTCTGGTCTCTAGGCCCATTCAATAATTCAGTGATGTCTTTTGCTGAGCTGTTGGAGGGTGATTTTGAGCATCTTAAAACTTAAGTGGAGGGAATATTAAAGAATCCCTTTACTCTAGGTCACCTGCATCTGAGCTGTTTTTGTGCAAAAAGTTTTATTTGCCAAATGCTCACTTAACACCTGCAGGCCTTAAATAGTGATTTTATTTATGGTTTTATTTCACTGAGACTCAACATAACCCCTGGCCCATATATAAACACATATGTTCTTTATCAAAGAGGATCAGAACCTTAGATTTGGATCCTTACATTAAAAAAATAATAATAATATAAACTTTGTGATTTTCTATCAACATTTAAACATCTTTATGGAAATTGAAATGGCTTAGTCACAGAAGATTTTACTAAACAATTGCTGAATATTCAAAAGGAGCTTGGAAGCATGTAAACGTGTATCTAATGTAGAGTGTGTCCAGATAACACAAAAGGTCAAAGACAAAATCTTGTCTGAAAACCTCTGTGACACAATGTGGCTGAAAACACAGGATGTGAAAATCAGTGTGGAGTTTAAAATCATCTTTTTCTTGCCTAAATCTACAAGACTTCAAACCTGTCTCACTCCTTCACAACCAGAGTTGTTGAAGAGGAGGTCACATGACAGCTGGATTGAGGAGCAGAGAGGAGCACACTCCCTGGAAGCAGCCACAGGTGTGCTAACTGAGCATCTGACACAGGTGCATCGAGTATGCTGACTGAGTTCATTCATTGTGTGCTGAAAGTCAAAACCCCTCAACATCCAACTACCCTGTCTGAAGGAAATAACTGCTTTAAATTCGGACGCCGTTTACACGTTGCCAGCTATTTTCATGAACGGACATTTCACCGTCTCTGTTTTCAAAAAGATCTTTGTTTACACTTACCCGTGTATATATACACAAGAGCATGCCAAACCTGTAGGTGGCAGTGTAACGAGAAGCTCAAGCCTTCCATGTATCCATTGTCACCATAGCAACATAGTTCGCAGGCTAAAACTAACACCATCCTGAAGCAGTAGAGTGCAGCAACAAAGGCGTCCACCAGTCAACCTCAAAGACTACATCACTATGCCATCTTGCCGAGCTGAACAGAACCCAAGGCTATTCAAAGAAGGCTGGGACATACTGTTTAACCCCATGGCAGCTGTGGAGTATGACACATGTGAAGAGTAACTGGAACTGTGATGTTGGAGGGCCAGGCTGCAGCTCATGCTTTGTTGTCATATAAAGCAGGGCAGGTGAAAATAGGCTCGTTTTGGATGAGCCAGGCCTGCACAGATTCAATCACTGGCGATCACTGTAAGATCGTTTAGATGTTCTTGCACCCTTCCATCTGGCCTCCACAGAGATGTCAGTCGAAAAGCATTTTTCTGCCTCAAAAGTTATTCCACTTATAAGAATGGTACAGCACAAACTGGCTGTAAAGGCATCAGCCATTAAACACCAAACATCTTTTAAAACAACTGCAGTATGTGCTGGTCACATGATGCAAAATTGAAAATGTTAGCATTCTGGCCTTAGCCACCATCTTGGACCCACGATTTAAAACATTACCTTTTGGCAGTGAAACACATGCACAAGAGGCCATGTCAAAATTGACTGCAGAATGCGCTGGGGCCGTGAGGGCTGAGAGAGAAATGCTGTCAACATCACAGGTAGTGTACCATTTATTATTATTATTATT